ATGGCTGTGAAACACTAGGCAAGCTACTTCACGAGGACTGAATAAGATAATGCGGAGTGTTGGCACATAAAAAATGTCTAATAAATGTTGACCTTCACTGCTGCTGGTACCACTACTGCTAGGAGTGGTGGAGTGAAGAATTCTTAAGTGGCAGCAAGAGTGACACGGTGAGTCATGGTGAAATTTACCAAAGAGTAAATTTCAAGAATTGTTGGTTCTAAGGAAGACAACCCTAGAATGAGGAGGGGGCAAACCAGGTTCTTCTCTTGGCTTTGTTGCTACTTAAGTATGCAATCACATCTCATTTCCTCTTAGGAGACGGTACAGGCAGACAGACTGAGGTTCAAAGCTTGCTGCAGCTAGCAGCAAGATAGGAAGATTGTAAGACAGCCGTCTCTCCAAGCATCCTCTGTAGAAGGGAACAGAACTATCTACCTCATACAGCTGCCATCCTTAAGGTAAGGATTAAAGAAATCACTAATGAAAAATAGCTAGCACTGCATCTGGCTACTTAATCTCTGTTTGTTTTTGTCAGCACTACGTATAAGTTCTCTTTTCTACTAACAATATCTTACAACCTCATGATTCCAATAAGCCTAAGCCCTTACAAAGTAGGGTAAATGTCTGTACATATCTGTATGTAGCAAAGATTTGGAGAATCCAAATGCAAAGTTTAATCTGCTTAGGGCTCTTTAATTATTGGTCACATTGTTGGTTTCCTTACTATTTAATATTTGATGTTAAATTTTAAGCATAGCATACTCAAACTTGTTAAAATGTACCAGTTGAATTTATTTTAGAAGGCTTAATTTTCCTATCATTGGAACAAAATGTAGTAAAATTACAGAATTCTTCTGAGAAGGCTTTTGGTCTTCTGAGCCAAAGACACCATACACATGGGACAAATTTCTCAGTATAACCTTAGTCCTGAAGTACCATTACATCTTGATTGTAACAGCAGCTCGTGTTTGCCCGATAAAGCACATGTTATATAATTTGAGAGGCTAGTGCTTGAGACATTGTCAAATGCTTTGAATACTTTCGTTAATTCTCCCCCATTTCAATTCCTTAACCACCATTTCTTGCCTCTAGCACAAGAAGTATTCTTTAGGCCTTCACATTTCCACACTTCTAGAGGCTGAAATGTGACGTCAAATATACACCCTATTCACACCCTGCCACATGTTCATTTGTATGCATTAAACTCATTTGTGTTTAACTGCAAAGCCAGTGTTCACATTAATAACATGAGAATATCAGATGTGACATCAGCAATGAAGACTGAGGTTAAATAAAATAATTTCACAAAAGTGATAGAGCTCTGGTTGACAATATCTAATGGGTATCATTTACTATCATATTACAAGCCAGAAACATCAACATATATGTTAGGGGGTATTATTATTTTCTAAAATTATGCATGTTTAATCTAAAGAGCCAGTAACTTTTAATTGTGAGGAAGGACCATGAGTCCGCGTGAGCACTTGGCCTCCCCTGACACAGCGCACACATAGTTGTTTGGGTGGTTCTTGTTTGTCTTCTCCGACAGTGTGGACTTCGTAAGAACTTAGTTTCACTCGCCACTGAATCCCTAACTCACTTGTGTCAGGTAACAGTGGCTGGCATGGAGTAGGGGCTCAATGGGTACTTACTGAATGAATCCCCATCTCTCCCATCCCCACTCATATCCCTTAAAATACAATTATTTTCTCAAAGAGTCCAAGGGTATTGACTCACACCAGGCCTTCCATTTATTCCAGGGTCTTTGAAGTCACAAGGCTGGGGTCTAATCTATGCAGTCAAGCTTTTTAATTCAACAGTAATCAGCCAAGTCCAGTTGAACCATTCAGATTATTATGTGTAATCCTAAACATACATAAAACATATGTGTGTGTGTGTGTGTGTGTGTATAGCCTCTAATCAAGGGACCTGGTGGGCCCTGGCTTTCCTAAAATAGTCACCAATCTCATTTACTGCTATATATATATATACTTCAGGTCCATCACCTCTGGAATATTCTTCTCTCTTATTCCATCCCCACCAGTCTTCCACCTCTCAGCATAAGGGTTACTTCCTCAAGGAACCCTGCCCCGTTCCCTGTGCCCTCATCCACAGCACTCAGTATTGTCCTTCCTTGCAGCCTCCACACTTCGCAATGACGTCTGTGTAATGACTTGTGTGGCACCCATCTCCCTCTAGGCTCCATGCTCCACAAGGGCAGGGGCGAGGCTGGCTGGGCAGCCGTGGGCCCCTCTTCTGCGCGGCCCCTCGCACATGCAGGTGCTCATGAATGCAGAAGAATGAGCTGGATGAGTCTATCGGTGATTAGCCCAGCAAATACTAAGAACAACAAAAAGAAGTAACGGGGCCCTAACAGGCCCAGAATTGGAAAGCACAGTAATAATGAGGGGGCTGCCACAGTTGTCTGTACTTCATCTCACTCATTCATTTATTTTGAGACAAGAGTCTTGCTCTGTCACCCAAGCTAGTGTAGTGGCACCATCATAGCTCACTGCAACCTCCAACTCCTGGGCTCAAGTGATCCTCCTGCCTCAGTCCCCCAAGTAGCTGGGACTACAGGTGCTCACCACCACACCCAGCTAATTTTTCTATTTTTTGTACAGACAGGGACTTGAACTCTTAGCCTCAAGCAATCCTCCCGCCTCAGCCTCTCAGGGCGCTAGGATTACAGGTATGAGCCACCACGCCCAGCCACAGTTCTCTTTAACTTAAAGTTTTTAATTGTGATAAAATATCCCTTATTATTTCAAACAGGGAAATAAAAATCATCTTAGGGCTTTTGTCTCCTAGTACTTGGAGCTCTGTTCCTTAAAACAAAACAAAACAAAAAAAAGGTCACACGGAAAGAGAAAGATTTGCTCACGTACAAGATACTCAGACAACAGATAATTCAAGAGACCTTCAGAACTGGGAGGTGGTGTTTCACAGCAGTGAAAAGAGTGCACTGAAACAGAAGATCCGGAGTCCTGGCTCCTCTGCTTACTGACTAAGTATCCTGAGTAAGTCTTTAATATGTCTGGGCCCTCAGTTTCTCATCTGCAAAATGGGGAAACAAAACCTATCACATGGGGCACCATGAGGACAGAAGGAAAGAACCGACAAAGTACTCTGTGGAGGACGAGGTATCACACAGAGACAAGCAGTAGGAAGCAGAAGCATCATCTGGGCCAAAGCCCAGTCCTCAACCAAAGAACCACGTACATGTCCCAGAAAGAACAGGGAACACAGAACCATGAGGGTAATTTTTCTGTTTTGTTTTAATGCCCCCGAGATGCATGGATTTAATCCACCACACTGACTCTTCCTATAAAACTGCTCCGCTACTCAGAAGAGTCATCCCGCGGGCCACCTTCTCTTCCCTGGTCTCGGCAGCCCCATTTTCTTGTACCTGCTCTGATGGGCCCAATTTATATACTTTTCCCCTTAATTCTAAAGTGGCTCTATTTTTCCACCAGCTTCCAGAGTTCACAATTCGTGGAGAAGGACATCAGTGGGCCACCCCTGGGTTCCCCATCTCCACTCTGGTGACGGCTAGTGAAGCCCCTCTGCCCAGGACACCTCCCCCACCCACCCAGGCTTTCCACTTTCCACTGGACTAAAGGTCAAACACTCCTGTGAGAGGTCACCTCCAACTGTTCAGTATCTCAGTTATTTGTCACGGACTGTGAACTCATTGGTGACACTTTTTCCTGATAACACAATGACAGCAAGGCAGGCAACACACAGAGAACATGGGACCTCTGTGCTTCTGGAAGCCCCTAAGGCGGGTGGGATGGGGTGAGGTGCGGAACGTGGAAAGGAGTCTGTACGGATCCCAGAGACAACTCAGGATTCCTTCCGCGTTGCCTTGGGCTGCTCACCCACACGCAGATGCAGCGCTCACACTCACAGCCAAGGAGTGGGTGTGAAGAAAGGGTACGGGGCTTGCGGGGTGGGAAAGAAGGGAGGATCACATATGTACGTGAAATGCCTGGCTGGGAAACAATGGGACGATGGGTACAAGATGGGGTGGGGGGGGTGGAAAGAAGAAAATGACAAACAGAGTCCAGATGCCAGTGTTACTGGCATTTATGACATTATAATGCATCGCATTCTACGTCTAACTGTTAAAATACCATTTTGTTACTTCTTAAGAAGAACAACTTGCTATCTCGAGAAAACAGATTTGGAAAGGCAGTACGGAACAATGGCTAAATGTTTATTCAGGCTTTGCAGTTTTAAAGACTTGAGTTTGAAGGTCTAATCCATCCGATACTAACTGCGTGACTTTGGGGAAGCTGTTTAACCTCTCTGTTTCCTCATCTATTAGACAGTTCCTAACCTCACAGGATTTTTGCAAGGATAAAATATGATCGTATATCCAAATCTTGCCACTGGCAAGATTCGATAAATGTTACTAGCTTGGCATGGTGGTGCACACACTTTGGGAGGCTGAGGTGGGAGGACTGCTTGAGCCCAGGAGTTTGAGACCAGCCTGAATAACATAGAGAGACCTCATTTCCACAAAAAATTTAAAAATTAGCCAGGTGTGGTGGTACACTCCTGTAGTCCCAGCTACTTGGGAGGCTTAGATGGGCGGATCACTTGAGCTAAGGAGTTTGAGGTTACAGTGAGCTGTGATTGTGCCACTGCACTCTAGCACGGACAGAGTGAGATCCTGTCTAAAAAAAAAAAAAAAAAAAAAAAAATGTTATCCCGTTGTTAAATTTTATAAAACTCAAGAGACTGTCAAGGTCCCTCCCTCCAGCTGAAGTACTCCCTGGAGCTTGAGGCCGCAGCAGCAGTAGACGGCCAGTTCTGAAGTTCTACGTACTTGCCAACACCTTTTTCTTTGGCTATCTTTCCCAGGTCTGTCTTCACACAGAGTATTTGTCAGGTACGAGGGCAGGGGAAAAAGACATAACACAGAGAAGTGAGAAGGTAAACAGGAACGGGAAGCAAATCCTGGATTCAAGACACACCTCTCTGGGCACACTCACCGAGTCTGGGTCTCGCTGCTGTTCGAGAAAAGCTGAAAATTCCACCAGGCGAAGCTTGGTTGTGCCAATGGAGCGACCCTGCCAGGCGGGGACCGAGGGAGCTGGGGCTGACGCAGGCTCAAACCCTGAAAGACCAATCATCACCTTAAAACCTGGCCCCTCCTTACTTCCCCTCAGACCTAAGGCCAAGACCAGGGCAGGGCTCTATCGGTGACTCTCAGGAAAGGCCAGGAGGTTCCTCTCCGGAGTCTGGGGGTAAACTCAGGGAGGTGGCAGTGGCATTCTGGCCGAGGATCCCAGAGACAGTGAGTGACCAGCCAGATAAGCACAATGCATGTGCTCCTCATAAAGCCACCTAAGCCGCTAAGGTTAAGGGCCGTGGCGTGAGGACATCTAATTCCGGACAAAGGGGCACAGCTGGAATGACTTCCAGCTGGAAGCCAGGAAGGACTGAGGAGTCAGCAGTGTGGGCTTCCAAAGACTTCCTGAGAGCCCCTGACGTGCACGCACTTCTTGTGCTTGTCCACCTCCTTTCTTAAGACTGTGGTCACCAGCACTGGAGAATATTCTTCCAGAATGCTCCATGGCTTTGGAGCAGAGAACAATGTGATATGCATTTTCAGTCTACGAAATCTACAGTGAAGAGCAGTGACTTTCGTACTGTAACTTAGCAGTTTCACTGAGTAACTCTCTGTGTGCGCGGGGAGAGTGTCTGGTAGGGAGAGACTGGTGGGCAGGCCAGACTTGTGCTTTCTACTTCGGGTTTCCATGTAAGCTCTCCTTTAAAGAAAGGGTACTAGGAATTGAAATCTACTTATCTGAGAAAGGTGAATAAAACCATATCTGCCTTCAAGACTTGGATTGCCCAATTCTGCCAGTGTATGATGAGGAAGGAGCCACAGCAACTTCCCCTTCTAGGGATGATCGATGTCTCAAGTGGAAGTGATCGGGCCTCCTATTTCTTTAAAAGCCCGACTTAAGAGCTCCTGGGAGACAACTGAAGGCATCAGGACCTAGCAGGAACACCCCCGTGGCTCTCCCGAGCTAACACGATGTAAGGAGGGCAAGGTGGCAAAAGGGTGTCCACATCCTGCAAGTCAAGGGAGCTGTGTGGCTGTGACACAGACGAGCATTTCCCCACTCTGGGGACAAAGCGACAGGCCCAGCTGTCAGTTGCATGGGGCTGTGCCCCCAAGAGGGAGTCCCAGGGAGACTCACCTGGAATGGGGGCCGTGACCGCTGGTTGGATGGGGTAGGCCTGCTGTACGAAGGGCTTGACGCTGGGGACAGAGAGGAGGACAGAGTCAGAAACTGCATCTGTAGCAGCAGCTATCACCCAAGACTGGCTGCGGCCTCCCCGTGGGAGGTCCCCCACCACTGCGTCCCCTTCCTACAGGTGGTAGCACATCCCAGGTGGAGCTCTACCCCAGGCATAGGCAGTTGCTCTATCCAATTGACAGGGGCCAGGAGCACACTAGGGATCAACCACCAACCCCCCTGACAGTTCAGTGGGATGAGCTGGACAGATGTCAGCCTGACTTCCATGTGCTGTGACAACTACCTCTCTCAGTCCCTGCAGAGGATCAGCCGTCACCATTTCCAGGCAAGGGGTGGGACATGCTTCAGGCTCTCCTTCTCCAGGCCGAATAGTTCCAGTACTTTTGACAATGAATAGGCAGGAATTCCTTTCTACTTCTATCCCCAAATTGCCTTTCTGTTCTGGTTTACTGAGCTTTGCTCCCTTGCCCGCATGGCACCAGCAGCATTTTCTATCAGCCTCCCCACCACGGGGAAAGCTGGGATGGATCGGGCTATAGGATTACCTCCACAGGCCACTCTCAGGCTGGGAAGACCCCAGCTCTGCCTCCAACCCCACGAAGGGACAGGGACCCACTTCCTGTTTCCAGCTGAATGAATGAAAATACTTAAGGTGGGAGTCAGGTGCATGCTCCCCTCTTGGATCTGAGAGGTCAGTCTCTCTCCTGCCACTGGCCTCAGTAAGAGGGAGATGACTTCCGGGATCTCCGTGTAACCTTCCTTTCTCCTCTACACCCCAGGACAGCCTGGTTCTGGGAGAACTTGCCCCAGGGGGGCTGTGACCAGCCCCTTGTTGTCAGTGGCAGCCCCTCCTCAGACTTACTCTTGCGAGGATCCTGGCTGCCCTGTTTGTATCATTCCGGGCCAGAACTGGAAGGCAAAATGCAAAGGCCTCAGGATTATGAGTTTACTTCAAAGCGCAGTTCAGGATGCGTAGGCATCACAACCTTGCTAACAGACCGCAGGTTCCCGCCACCCACCAGAATCACCTTCCCCGAATGCAAACGGGGTCAGCACTATGCACAAGATCACAACCCACACCCCTGGCCTGGCCGGGCTCCCCTTAGCTCCTCCGTCCTGAAAATGCCCCCGGGCAGGGGCAGCCAGCAGCTCTTCAGTGTTCTCAGGACACCTAACAGAGATCTGGGCGTACTGTGGGGGTTCACAAATATTTCGAAGGACTGCTTCATCCACGCACCCACCCATCTTCTTCTTCCCCCTCTGTTCTGAAGCCCTCCCTGTGCAATATTCTGCCTCCATGGCAAGGAAGGCCCAGCAGGGCAGAGGACAAAGCTAGAACAGGATGGCCAGAAACAGGCACGGTGGTGCCTATGGTCCCAGCTACCTGGGAGGCTAAGGCAGGAGGATCATTTGAGCCCAGGAGTTCAAGTCCAGCCTGGGCAATACAGCCAGACCCTCATCGCTTAATAAAAAAAGGTAGCCAGAGCTCTGAGAGGCAACACAGGCATTTTCTTTACTGGGAGCTTCCCTGACGCTTCTGCTGCCCGCCGGACAGGGAAAAGCAGCCTTTGGAGTCACGCAACCCTGGATTTGAATCCTGACATCTCTATCCATTCAACTATGATCAAGTTACCTAAATTTGTGTTTTCCTACTAAATAACCTCAGCTTTCTCATCTGTCGAATGTCAGTAACAATAAGAAGTATTTACGATTACTGTGAGGATCAAATGAGACTATAAAAATGCTTCTCAGCCCTTGAGAAGGCCAAAATGAAAATGTTAATAGAACACCTTATTTCCCTTCGGGGGCTAGTTGCCATAAAGCGACCCTAAAGACGGAGAGACAGAGACCAAGGGCCAGGAAAAAAGTAAAGAGAGCAGAAGAGGCAGATCCCAACCAGAAAGGCACCAGGACTTAACTCCGTGTCTTCAGGAGCTAAGGATTTCTTCTTCTTCCTCCCTTTCTGCTTTCTCCCCCCTGTTCTTTCTCTCTTCTATTCCTCTCCTCTTCCCCCCACCCTCCCCTCACTCTTCCTCTCTAATCCCATCTCCCTCCCCTTCTTTCTTTCACCATTTGACACACAGCATCGGTTCCCCATAAGGTGGTCCTTGGCCTCTCGCACACCTGATCCAAGTGACAAGAAGTGCAGGGTGGAAGGCTGAATGCTGGCCCATGCCAACCCCAACCCCAGCAGCTGTCATTATCGCACTGGGCTCATGACTTACCCCTGGCGCCCCCGGGAAGGTCGGGCGTGGAATCCCAGGCAGCCCCAGCTTGTTGTGAATGGCAGTGGCCGAGACGATCTGGGCTGAGGACATGGCCGCCATGTGCTGCAGGGCCTTATCCTTTGCGGTCTGATCCTTGAAGGTGACAGTGACACACCGACTTAATACAGAATGCATGGCTACCAGACAGGTGAAACAGGCACAGCCACGAGCACATGGACTAAAATACAGAGCCACAAAAGAGGCCAAAAAAGCAAACATGCATGGATAAATAAACACAGCCAGAAGGCTAAAACACACTCAATCTACTGTAGCTCTGAACATTTACAGAGAATACCCAGAGGGGAAAGGTGTTTCTGCTTGTTTTTTTTTTAAAGAATTAAATCCATTTTCTAACAGAATGTAAAGCCTCTGAGGGGGGTGGACAATGTATTTGTTTATTTTTTCAGCTTCCAGAAGGAGATTTCTCCAATTACTTAACATACTCAAGGAGGAAGGGGAAAAAAGGGCCCTGCTGTAACTGATGGCAGGAGGGGTGAGAGAAGAGGTGTGGTTGTGGATTGGGGTAGGACAATCCCCACAGCGCGGGAGCCCTCTCTGTGTGTGTGCTGGCCCTCACGGGGCCACAGTCCCAGGAGCTGCTAGGGCGCGAGGCCTGGAAGCTCTGGCAGACATCTGGTGGGGGGGGGGGGGGTCAGAAGCAGCAGATGGGCGGGGCGGAGGGGGTGACGGGCCAAGCAGCATGCTGGCGGGGTGCATGCTTTCTCAAGTATCCCCGCCGTGGGTCTAAGGCTACATGGGTTCTTATAAAGCCAAGAACACAGGGGATGCTACAGGTAAGTGGTTTCCCCTTTTCCTAAATGGGTCTTTTCTAGAAAAGCCAAGGCTGATAACACAAAGCTAGCCAAAAAAGTCTGCCAAGCACAGCTAAAATATAGAATATACTCAGTTTGGTGAAAATACTTACCATGCTTGTTACCTGGATACAATAATAAACAATTTGTTAAAAGGATTGCGTACAAAGGCAGGGTTATTTTTCTTCTTCAGTTAAAAAATATATATGTATACAAACACATAATACTTGGATACAATAAAATGCATAGAAGCATGGGGTCTTTTTTTCCCACATTTTAGGAAGAATGCACGATCCACATAGCTATCTAGAAAGGCAATTATCAGGAAGGGCACTCAACAAACAGCAACAATCAAAAAACTACCCCAGCTCCATCGAGCTAGCTCTGTGGCTTCCCCAGCACAGATGGAGACATGGCCAGACCCCTGGCATGTGATGAGCCCCGTGGGCACAGGCAGGGCTCCAAGCCTGGGGAGCACAGAAAGGCTTCTGGTTGCTAGTAGAGGATCTATACTCAAGGCCCAGACACCATCAAAGCAGGAACAAAATGGTGCCATGAAAATAAAAAGGGTGCCCTCCACAGCTGCTCTTCAGGGCTCAGACAGTCAGGGAAGGTCAAAGGCCACTTCCGGAGAAGACGCTGAGTTCCAGCTGAGAGGATTTACAGCTTCAGGGTTTA